TTTGGATCCTTTTGGCCTTCCCAATTGGACTGGTGGTGTTCACTGAGTGTTCACTCCACTTCGGATTCCATGGGGTGTAGGACTCCGGCTCCTGTCCCACCTCCACACCCCAACTCCGTCGACCCCCTCTATGCATGCAGCAATGGCCTCCAACCTAAAGAGAAAGGACCAAAACCAGGAAAGAAAGAGGGACATAAGCATACATCAGCAAGAGAAAACATGGCAATGGCCTCCAACCTAATAGCAATGGCCTCCTTGGCTTTTGAGGAGAATAGTATGCTTGAGCTTTTCCTTTCGGTGATGCTCTCATCATGACCCAAACAAACAAGTGTGTGGTGCTTTGTTGCTCCAATCCCTTGCCTATGCTTCGCATAAAACTCTTCGTTTGTTGTGCTTGATGCCATGTGTGTGACCCACTTGACATGTCAACCCTTTTCTGTTGAACAAAACATGGTTTTCAAACCATCGGAGGCAGGCCAGCAATGTGGTGACCCTGTACTGGGCCTTACTCTTTGCCTTGATGGCCACCGGCGTGGCGGTGAACAGCTGCTGCAACACCCAGCTGGCCGCGGGCGATACGGGCGAGACACGGACCTTGGCCGCTTGAATTGAAGCGAGGGAGATCGGTGGAGGAAGAACCGAAGAACCGCTCCTGTTGATGGGAATACTGGTGTTACACCCTGGAAGACTAACATGGACCCTGAAAAGCCCTACAGGAGTCCACCGGGAAAGCAGACTAACACGAACACATGAGTTACTGACGTCCCATGCCCCATGCCTTTTTTCTTCCTCAGTTGGGGGGGCCTCCTGAAGGGTCTTCCCAAAGATCGAAGATAGGACATGATAGGACATATATAGATTTGGTGTGACCTTCAATCGGAGTTGAACAATGCAGATGCCATTTGCATGCTTGCAACATCGGAAGAGCTCAATCAATTGATCACCGAGATGTTTAGCCAGATGGCTACAACGACTGCAACTCTCCATGGCAGTTCGCCGAATGGTGCGGCCTTGCAATTGTCATTAACCAAAAAGTGTATCCAAGCACAAATCCCAAGTAGAATGGCTATTCATTCCGGTGTCAGTGTCATCATTTCAAAAGAACTGGGCACTTAGACCAAAATCATTTTGGTGTCTCCGAACATAGTCCAAGATTTGTGGATGAACTTGTCAATGCGCTTATATACAGCTTGCAAATGGTTGACCATAATGGTACAGATGAAGGAAGTAAAGCACTTCTTCCATCTCTTTTTCTCTTTCTTGCTCTTTCTTTCTCTCTCTCTCTCTCTCTCTCTCCCCCTCCCTCCCTCCCTCCCTCTCTCTCACTCTCTCTCTCTCTCCCTCCCTCTCTCTCTCTCTCTCTCCCACTCGCTCTCTCTATCTCTCGCTCCCTCTTTGACAGCTACTTGAACTCATGACATATGACATTTCAATGCATTGTCAGCATCTTTGTGTGTCAGTCGCTGCGTTCCTGATGGTGGAAGTGTTGAAGGTAAGCTTTGGCAAAGGCTGGCAACATTGTATTCTATAGCTTCAATCGCGTTTTGTGAAGACCTGATTGGTCAATCACGAAACACTCCATATATGCAATGTATACCTACCTTGGGCATTTTTAACACCCCAATGTAGCTTTTAAAAAATTGCTTGTGTCACTGTGTGTCGGGTATTTTGGTGCAATGAAACTGCACTACAAGTTGTGTGTCGTGTGTTTGTTCTTTGCAGATATGCCAAAGTAAGGTGGTAAACACACCGTGCACACAAAAAAGGTGCTGCATGCACGCGTGAAACCAGTTCCAATGAACCATTTGCAAGAATGGTAGTCTTTTAACCGTCTTTATGCATAAACATTACTGTGGAAAGCAGTCGGAGTTCCCATTCAGACAGAGTCAAATCCGGTCATATCAGTACGAGGGTGTCCATGTGTGTGCATGATATGCGCTTCACTAATTATGCGGGATGGAAGCCTTACTGTAGATGTTTGATGTCCAAGAATTGTTGTACTTTCGATGCGTCTTGAAGGAGTTTTGGACGAAGGTGAAACATTTCACACTCAATACCATAGAGGCTATATAACATTTTCAGGCGGACTGTTCTGATTACTTGAAGAGAGTGCATAGGGCAAGCCCGGCAAAACAACCCAAAGCTGACAAGAATTCCGCGACCGTGTCTTTCCAACAGTTCCCAGTGGAGCTGCATTCCCAGAACTTCCAATGACTCATTTTGCTCCACCTGCTAGTCATATTCCACCACTACCATAGGGGTAAAATGTGTCGTTTGGACTCTCAGGGATTGCGGGTCTATTGATCTAATCAGACGATCCAAATCTTCCAGAATTCATACTGGGGCGGCTCGCGACGGCTTTCATAGACCCGCTCGCAACGGAGACGACTCTGGCGAGGTCCACCCAAGCCAAACGATGAACCTTTTGCTCGGCGTTTGTTGGCCCTCCTTGGTCCTGGTGCTGGGTGCGCGCAGCTCGGAACGTGTCTCGAACTTGGAGAGCGATTTCGCAGGGAAGGAGGGAGAAGCTGGAAGCAGAGAAGCAGATAAAATAACATGGTCTTTCATGATGTATATAACTGTCTGGTGATTGAAACAAGCCAGAAGTTAGACAGAAGAGAGATGAAAATGCATCATGCACAATTTTTTTGCTGATTTGTTTAGGGCAAGGAAACCGATTCCCCAGCAAGAATATGTCCCGCAAGTGCCCCCCAATTCATTTTTCTGCGGTCGGTGTGTTGATTTTGCTGTGGTCGGTGTCGAGGCCCGTCAGCCCGTCTGGCAGACCACACCAGACACCGACACCTCGACCTCCAGACCTTTCAAAGCATAAAATATGGCTGGAGCCTCCAACCTACTCTCCCTGGAAAGAAAACATGGAAGTGGAAAACCACCGCTTTGTAGTGGAAAATGGTCTTCCAAGGGGCTATTCAATTCTCCACTTCCATGTTAGGTCCAGGGAGTGTAATAGCGATGGCCTCCAACCGAATAGGGATGGCCTCCAACCGAAGAGCGATGGCCTCCAACCTAATAGCGATGGCCAGCGATGGCCTATGCTTTGAGAATGGGTGATGTTGCACGTTTGCCAGTAATGACTAAGGGGCTAGGTGCAGAACCACCCTGCAGACTTTGAATTGGCAACATGCAGAACCCTGCAGTGTCCATCAACGTCATATGAGAGATTGAAATAACCCCGCTCTCAGCAGTTTAGTATTGGCATGCACCTTAACACTACAAATACATTCCTACCCCAGAAAACGATCAGAGTAAAAAACGATAATGATTATACCTGCACATCTCATGGGTTTCAACCTGTCAGATTAACAAAAGACACGTGTTTTTTTACAATACCCCATATGTAAACACCACGGCTCCAAGCAGCTGAGGCTTGGGCCGCTATGCCACTAAGCGCTTGCATCACGGGCAACACTTGGCACCGGAATAGACGTTCGGGACCTGGCGGTGTGAACATACACCATGCATGAACATGTGATGTACACAACCCGCCCGAATCCCAGTCTCGACTGTGGGCAACCAGGGTTTCTAGGTCATTCTAGGTCCTCTTGGTTTTGCTTGATATGACATTGTTGTTCATTCGGGTTGAGAACGAGGATGTGACCCACTGAGGAACCAGTGTGTTAAACATGCATGCCGGTGAGGCTTTGCGGCTTCCTTGCGGCGACATGTGAGAAGTAGCTTTTGCTGGCCCGAATGCTGGCCAGAAGTTTGAAGGCGAAGACCCTGGAAGAGCGCCAGCCGGTTCTGTTGAGGATCCTGACGTTGAAAGCCTGGAGGATCAAAGACTCCGCTGCTTCCCATTCGGAGGTTTCTCTATGGATGGAAGGCCCTGAACATTCTTTTTGGGCCTGCTGAACAGAGTGGCTTGGGTGTTCTCGCCCGCACTTGCTACTCTCCCTGGAACTAACATGGCAGTGGAAAACCACCCGTTAGAAAATGGTCTTCCAAGGGGCCATTCTCCACTTCCATGTTAGTTCCAGGGAGTGTATTTATGATCCAATTTGGGCTTTCTGGCTACTTCAGATTGGGCTTGAGCCCTTTGATTGATTTGTGAGGATTGTTGCTCGAAGGCCCTGGGGAGAGAGCGGTTGGTTGCTGTATGGGTTGCTGATGTCTTTATTCAGATGAATGTTTATGAACACATTTCTTGACGGTATGGCTAGTGGTCAATTGCTGACTAGCACCGCTCTTCATTGCCTGGCATCGACTGAAGGGAGTGACCAACACAACACAACTGATGTTGGAATAGTTGAACTTTTTAGGTGAAATGTACCTCTGGATCTATAGACGTATCTATAAACTAGAATCTAGACCACCCATCCAGATCGACCACTTCTACGAGGGAATCTCAGCAACAGACCAGGGGCCTTGACACCTTCCAGTGGTCTGGACCATCTGTTTGTCCCGTGCCACGGCGAGCGTTGCTCTTCGACACTTCGAAGAAAGGGGGTGACGCCAACACACAGGTTGATGCGGGGAGTGGATCTTGTTGTGGGAGAGATGCTTAGGCTTACCCCCTTCAGTTTAGACTTTAAACCATACTAGACCAGATTGAAGAAGATTTTTCATCGTTGATTTGTACATATTTCTACTGATCATCGACTACAAGTGTATCTGTATGAACGCATCATAGGGTGCGGAGGGCGCAAAAGGGAAATCTCGATCAGATTCGTTTGTAGGACACTGCGCCTAGTCGTGAAGTTGTCGGAACATAGTCTGAGCATTGATGGAAGGTCATTGGAGGGTCCGTAAGCAGAATCCCTTCACTTGAGAAGAAGCAGAGCTTTCTGAGCTTGCTGAGCATTTGAGCAGTGCGTCCCTCACTTACTTGGTTTAGTAGCCATTCAAATCCAGTATTAAAGTACAGTAAGGATGTTCTACCAGATGGTAGGCCGTGCGCATGATCTCTTGTTGATCCTCCAATCCCTGCATGGCGGCCGTGCATGCCAACGTGCACACTGCATCGACTCCATGGCCTCCAGGTGATCGCAGAGATCGTGGTGAGTGAGCTCCGGGAGGGGTTTCTTGGCGTTCCAAACGGGACGGCCAGGGTGGGTTGGGACGGCCACCCCAGATCAGCACATGCAGACGAATCCGACGTTTTGGAAGATGAGTGACCAGCAGAATCCCCTGGTACGTCATCGGTTTGTGAAATATCCGCCCAATGTCCAACATCTTCTTGGCATCCTTTGCACGGGCAATTCTGAGCCCCCTTCGACCGTTTCTTACAACAGCTGGAGAAGCAGAGCTTGCAAGTAGTTGTTTCTGTTGGGTTTTCAGGCTTCTCGATCTGATCAGGTTCCCACCAGGGTCGAAGTCCACTCGTCCCTCTTCGGGCATTGAAGCTCCAACCTGCCCCCCCGTTGCCGTGTCACTCGCCCCTCCCAGTCAGTCGGCGCTTGGAGCAACGCCCGCTCTCTCTGCCGGTCGGACGGCCCGAACGGCAGAGGTTGCCACCCTTGAAGACGGCACAACCGCCGCTGAGCACGGCCGTGCAAAAGATCCAATCTGCCAAGGCGCAGAGACTGCCAAACTGTTTTGGTCGTTTACTTATGGCGGGTAGCAGACTGAGCACAGCTCTTTTTGGGGATGTTTTTTGGGGCTTTAAAAGGGATGCAGGGATGTTGGTTGCATGTAGAAGAGCTGTTCTCTGCTTGAAGCAATGTTGCAGCCGGACGCTTGAGGGAAGTTCCAGCCGGGTTTTGTGCAGAGGGCTTCTCTTTTGGTTCTGTGGTTTCGGGTGTGAGCTTTGGAGTCCGAAAACCGTGTCAGGACTCCTTCCGTCCATCAGTGGGGACGACGGTGGCCCATCTCTTGGTGCCATCAGCGAAAAAAGCCCTCAGCTTGGGACTGGGAGCTGAAAGATGATGAGTTCGTAACGCATTCAAAGGGTCGTCGCTGCCGAAAAAGAACATGCTCCGGCGATCCCAGAAACGGATGGTCCAGCAGACCCAGAAAGGCCTTGAGAATAATTCAGACGAGTGGTCCGGTGGTGGAAACTCTCAACCCACCCACCCAGCGCCTTCTCTCGACAGGCACGCTGCACGCTGCAGATGCACCAGGCTCGGACATCGACCGTCCGCTTCAGTGGTTGGGAGTCCAACGACATCGACTGAAGGGTGGATTTTTCTTCGGCGCAGCAGAGCTTCGGCTTCAAACCACTGAGCAATCCTTAATTCGGATGGGAACCAAGAGATCGGTTTGGACACAGCATGGAGTGCTGAACCAAAACTCATGGGTGATGTTACAAATCGTTTCACAGCTGTCTAGTCCAATGATCATTGCGCCTCGATCCAAAAAGAGCCCAGGTCTCCTTTCGTCTCCAAGTCTAAGAGCCAAATTCGTGGCGCTCTTCCTGGAATCAAGTTCACATTCGTGGGACAAAACAGTCACCAGACACCCGGCAGCCGAACACTTCCGAACAGATCCACCGAGGCTTCTCGCTTGCTGCAGAGTGTCCGTCGCTGGGGTACCATGCCCGGCACCTCCGTCTGGGCACCGAGTGAAAGACCCCGACGGTTGGCCGACTGGAAGGAGGACCCGGTCCGGTCGCGCGTTTGTGGGCAAACCACCCGCACGGTCGATGGATCAAAACCAGAGACACCGGCACGTGCGGAGAAACTGGGGGCTTTTGGTGCCGGAGGACGTTTGTGTTTTCGGCTTTTTTCGCCATGGAGGACATGGTGGATGTAGAGATCAATGGATGTAGATGTGCCGCACTTGGGATGACTGGAAAGATCTTATGCGAAACTGAAGGTTCTAGAAGAGCTTTCAGTGTTTCATCAGCTCTTTTGGGATGACAGCCCAGATATGAGTAGTTTCCCCAAATGCTTCCAACATGTGTATTTCCATGTGGTTGTGTAGCATGTTTGTGTCTCAGATGGTGCGCAAGTTTGGACGTGTATCTCAGAGAGTGTATAAGGGAACGATTCAACATGATTTACCCATAATAGTGTTTCATCTCAAGCATTCTTTGGAAGTACTTGCTTTATCCTGCTTTCACCTCCAAGACCATCCGAACAGGAGGTACACTCCCTGGAATTATCATGGAAGTGGATGGCATGGCCCCTTGGATGACCCTGTTCATCCATTTTCCTCTACAAGCCGGTGGTGTTTTTCACTTCTATGAACTTCCATGACGATTCCAGGGAGTGTACATAGACCCCATGGAGTTGGCTTTTTGTCTCAATGGCTCGAAGGGGGGCGGAATGTCTTGCAGAGCGCGATTGAAGTCAGTGAGTACTCTGGTGGTTGCTGGGCCACTGGGGATTTTCAACGTCCCGATCCACGGTGATCTCTGAAGCTCAGGAAGAATCCACCACTGCAACCGTATTTCGATGGCAGGACGAAGTGGAGGCCAGGTGGCGACTTCATTGATCTTACAAAGGCACCTCTCCAACACTCCATGTGCCATCAGTTCGTATGTTGGAGTTCACGCTTTTGCGGCATTGAGCGTCGAGGTCGCCCGGTACTTTGGCTACACTTCAAGCTATGGATGTATATCTTCGACACTTCAAGCTGTGGATGTATATCATCGACAAGATGGTAGCTGCTATGTTCTCATCCATTCCACGAATCGCAGCAAAAGCAATCCGTGCATGTCCTTCCATGTGCCAACAGCAGGCATTCTTTCCTCATATGTCAGGAGTTGGTCTTCTAAGTTCATTTGGATAGTCAGAGTATCGCCTTTTTTTGGATGTTGAGATTGTTTTGGCGCCGACTCGCCCAGGGTGTACGTATTTTGAAGTAAAACTTAATGAAACTCTAAAGCTGCCTGACACATGACCTCATGCCAAATTTGTACAACTTTTGCCTACTGTCTTTGCTGCTCGGTCTTACTGGTTTCGTTGGTTTGTCGTTTGTTCTTTTTTGTTTTCACATGCAGCCAAGTGGCTCTCTTTCACCGGAGGATCATCCCCGAAGCCCGAAAGGTGCAGAACTTTGCTAGGGTGGGAGTAACGTCCAGGAGACAAGAAAGAGCAGACTTAAGGTGAGAGGAACATGAGTGCACTAGAGCTAGAGAATAATAGAGCACATATTAACACGGCATAGACTCATGAGGCAAGGTATGAAACCTCACTGCACCCACATCAACCCCACCATACAGTGTTTGACAAGACCACCTACTGTTAATCCCATCTTGCATGGTTTTGGGTCTCGATCTTGCGCAGTGATCCACATTCTGCACTTCCCTTCCCAACAAGGGCACGTACAGTGGCCCGTACAGTACGGGTTGAATGCAACACAATCGCAAGCCTAAGGCGTGACTTGTATCACGAATCCAATTTTCAGACCAGCAGCATACAGCTGCGCTGCACGGAATACTCATACACCAAGGGTTGTTGCAAGATGTTGCAAGTAGATCTGTGGATCCCACCTTCCAACAGATGGCTTTAGGATGTTTTAGGACTACCTCTGCAGGCGAACTGGCTACCTCTGGTTGTTCCATGGCACCTATTGTGAGTGGTTTTCCGGAAAGACCTCATGGGCGCCGGCCTCCTGCCAGCGGCCTGCCGGGTGACGTCGTGGAGACGTCGTGACTTCAGCCGCCCATCAGGTGCCCACTTGGGTGGAAGATCTAAAAGCCCGGATGCCTGGAAGCGCTTGGAACATCTCCCAGAGGTGTTCGTATAGGTCTGAAGATGTCTGAAGGAATCAAAAGGTGTGGTTTAAAAATATGTTTGTTTTACAGACCATGACCATCCCGTTTAATGGGGAACTCTGATCATATACCATTTAATATATATATATAGAGCGAGAGAGAGATGTTATATTTGATAAGATATGTTTGAATAAAAATAATCGATTCAAGTCAATCTTTTGACACCATTCAGGATTCATTGGCATGTTCCGCGGATGCTCTAAGTAAACGAACGTTGAGCCACAATGTCCAAAATGGATCCCTTTCTATCTAATTACCCAATCCTGACCGAGAGATGTCGAGAGATCACTTGCTGTAGCTTGTCCTGGAGAAAGTCATTTGCGTAGACATCTCTCTTGGATGCAATGATAAAGTCGAAGATAAACCTTAACTTTAACGTACCTTAACTATCCTTAACTTCAAGGTTCAGTCCACATGAAAGTTGTAGACAGACCTTAACAATATACCTGAAGTCCAGAACCACCTCACCTGCCTGGCACTGACATAGAATGTGGATTTGTGGCACTATGGGGCATAGGATGACATGTTCTTGGCACGAGCCGAGGACATCTAGGATCTCTATCCTCAGTGGATAGCAGGCACTTAGCACACACCCTGGTGACTAAACCTCCGATTCATACACTCCTGGGGCGCTGCCCAGCTCAAAAAAGAGGACCAGCAGTGGTGTACGCAGTGTATACTGCGATCGTTGTGACTTTCGACGGTACTCGTCGCGCATGCACGCGCATGCTCGACTCTGCAGCATTGAGCTTCAGTGCTGAACCAACAGACCCTCATCTTGCCTGCTGCTTGGCATGGGATTCGGAAATCCAGCAGGTCTTTCTTGGCCACCTCGATTTTGGTTCTCATAGGCCAAACCAAGTGGTCGCTTTGATGTTAAGTCTTGTTGTCTTCCTTGAGTCCTACACTCTGCCCGGTTCCTTTTTCTTTCACAACGGGTCCGACGGGTCAACTTAGGAACCGACACGGTGAACAAAACGTCTCGTGACGATTCCTATTCTCATTGAGCCAAAATCCCATATAAAGCATTGAAAAGATCCACTGGAATCCAGATGCTGAAGCAAAACACCTGGGAAAATATCGATGAACATATGGGATCCGAAGTGTTTCCCTCTTTCTCCACCTTGACACTCAGCATGTCTGTTGATTGACCAGGCCCCGCGGTGTTGTCTGAAAGAGGGACGAATGATGACGAACGACTGGACGACCACGAGTCGATGTTTGTTCCGGTGACTTTAGGGCAAAATGGAGGTCAAAATGGGGTTGAAGATGCATAGCAACTTTAGACATGCACTGACAGAAAGAACATGATGTGCCACTTCGACATTTAATAGAATATAATAGGAAATCCGTGGCCAGGAGTCATCAATTGAGGATACAGCTAACCCCCTCGACTCATCTCGACTCCACAAGCCTCGTTCTCGTAAAGCAAACCGAGGCTTCCAACCGGTGATGCCTCGCTGCATCTTCGTTTTTGCTTTCCTCGTCGGGAGGCTGGCTGCCAAGTGTATTGGAAACATGGCATGAAGCAGGCACTGCTGCAGACCTGGCTAATCCGGGGAAACATTGGCAAAACTACTTTTGAAAAGCAGTGTTGCTTGGGGAGCCCCTGGTCCTCAGTTTTTGAGTACTGGTAGCAGGCACTCATGAGGTGTACCCGCAGGCGAATGGACACAACAACCCGTAAACGACCGTAAACGTTTCTATTTAATAAAACAAAAGACAACTATATTCAAGGAGCAGATAGATTGATTGTTTGATCTCCACCAATTGAGTTTGGCTTGGAGGATGGTCCCGCTTGCTTGCAGCCATGTCAAGAGCACAGCAACCTTGTTGAGTGGTGGCGAGAAGATGCCAGAATCCAAGCCAGTAAGAGCAACAGCCTGTGGTGACCACAGTGTAGTCCCCCCGAAACCTCGTGGCCGATTCCTCGACCACTGAGGAGAGTCATGCCCAGCCCAGGGTGACTCGATGATCCAGCATCATGTGGCTTGGGCGCCTGCGCGGGCCAAGCGGGGGGGGTGGGTGTTGCTTCATCTCCACATGACTCGTTCCAATCCAACAGAGGTTGAGGAACCCTACAGACATCTACAGACTATAGGTACGCCAGGTGACAGGTCCTATGGGGTCACTGAACCTCTCGAGTGGTACTATTCCATACTATTCCATCGAGAAGTCCATCCGACGAACATCCAGGTTGCCAAGAAGTCTCAGACCAATCCGTGCCTCGGGCGCAGTGCGGCTAGCTCTAGGATTCTGAGATCGTCAGAGGACCAAGAAGGTCACCTGTTGGAATCAAGTCCAACAACTAAGTCCCAAAAAGATCGTATGCAGCTGCCATTTGCACTGAACTTGTTCCAAACGAGACCCCAACCGGTTCTTGTATGTTCTTGTCCAAGCATTTGAAGATTTCTCACATTTGATTGTTGGGGCGATGTTTGGTCATGAACATTCAGATACAATTCAGTGAACACAGGACGTCCTGTGATTTAGGGATTTGACGGCCATTGAACCAATAGCATCTTTTTCCAGCAACCAACCAGCAAGGAAAATTGAGGAAGTACCCTTCCTCCAACAACCATGGAAGCTGACCAGGACCTTTTGTGGAGTAAAATTGGTCTTCTAGGCTTCCAGGAGCCTACGTTCCACTTCCGTTATTGTTTCAGGGAGTGTCTTTGTTCAGATCCTTGAATGGACGGGAGATGATTCTTGGACCACCAAACCACCCCACATCAACACCAGCTGATTGACAAAAATATTCATGGGTGGACTGGAAGGACTATATAGGACCGTCCTGGACTCAGTCATTCTGAGTCCTGGGGCGAGTGCCACATCAGAATTCCTCGGAACGACTCCTCACATCAGCAAGTGCCACCCAGCCAGTGGACTAATCCACCCAGCCAGTGGACTAAATGCAGCAAGTTAATCTTGTCTTGGGTAGCCTTGGGGTCCTCTTGAGTGGTGCGCATTGCCCTGATGAAACGCTTCACACAAATGCCATCAAATGCCTAAAAAGAGGGTGTAGTCCATGACCAGCAACGGTCGATAAACACCAACTATACATCACGATGTTTGAACAAGTCATCATCCTTGGTTAATAGGATATACCCGACCAATGATGGTTGATCAGTTTATCGACTCGATCCTTCGTTGAGTTTCATGTCTTTGCTCATCTCTGCTCAGTCAGTCTTGCATTCTATGCAGCTCAAAATGAGAGAAATCCACCGTGTTGTGGCTTAAGACGGCTTCGGAACAGACCGGGACAGGCTGGCGGTAATTCATCTATAGAGGGAGAAACCAACAGAAAACAAAGACATGAAACGATGTTCACCTTTCAAGATGTTGATTAAGGACATGGCGGAAAGGCAGAGAGGCATTCATAGCGCTCATACTGCTAGTGCTCATAGTCCCCCAAGTTTTAAGTCATTCAAGACATGCAGTCCTTGCCGAATGACTACGATGTGGAACGATGCCATGGATGAGATCAAAATAGATCAAAGATCGAATTGACCAGGTGATATCGCGGAGGATAATCTTAAGAAAACAATGATTTGTTTGTCATTGCAAAACTCTACAACATCCATCATTCAGACAGGTCGGATGTAGTTATAATGGCTCAGAGTGGAGTCCCTTCCAAACGATAGGAAAGATCATGACAGTCATGACCCACTAGTCAAATGGGACAGACAGACGAGTCACATCTCCAATCTGCACAATCTGCACTGCTTTGAGGTACAGCTATGGTCACGACAATACCCAAAGCTGCGGCTACCAAAAGGAGCGTATCGAGACATCCACCGAGTGCCGCTTGGGTATTTCTCGTGCTCTCGGTTCTGGGAAGGTTAGACCGAGATGTGACTGTGAAGTATGTGGTCGGTATCGCTCCTGTCCCACTCGGAAGGTAGTTAGACCATGTTAGACCCACCTCACCTCCTTCTTTTCGGATGTAGGACAGAACCCCTAGGGATGAGTCATTTGGGGTCATGAAGGGGATAGCCTAAAGGCTGCCACAGCATGCCTGGGGGCAACGTGCAGCTTTGCAGCTAAGCATCTCTTATACCCTCAACATTAGAAGATCAGCAGCGAAATCCATGTCAACGAACGATCGCTGAAAAAACACCACGCTGCACAGACTCTGCACTCGCTCTCACGACCGAAAGGATCGTGGCCCGAGGTCGTGAGGCGGCGGGTGCGCTGGATATGAACTTCGGCTCGTCCGGCGCCTACTATCGCTGGCCTGCGTATTGCTTCCGGCCGCTGGGCACGACGCGGCCCACCCCGTACGGTGCGGTGCGTGGTACCGTGCGGTGCTACCGGTACGACATGTGTCGGTGGACATGTGTGACATGTTTTATCGTAAGGTGAGTCATGTGAGTCATGTTTGAAGGTGTGAACTGGGGCCGACAGGACGAAGCGGATGCTCTTGGACCCAAAAAGGGCTAGGAATGGGAGTGAGGGTGGGGATGAAGCGCCAGAGAATAGGATGGTGGAGTGTGAGATGGGGTTCCTGACCAAGGACCATCAAAGACTCCAAGAGCATCCAAGATATCCAAGAGCGTTTGCTGTCCCAGCTATACATTCAGATCTTGTTGTCACATGTCTTCACCATGTTTCACCTATTTGCAAGCAAGCGAATCTGACTGCATCATACTGCATCCATGTAGGATCATGTAGGGATTATTGATTGCAACACTTTGGGCCACAGGGAATATCCTTGAGAATTGGTGTACACAGTGCCATGTTTCCGGCTGGTCAGACTGGCCTGTGAGCGCTCCCCCCCAGCCACATGATGTCACCTCATCTATCTCCAGACCGGGACCCTGCACGGCCAGTTTGAGCTGATTCTCATGGAGGCCAGTGATCCACTGGTAAGTTTGGAGGCTTTTGCTGAACTGGTGCCCCAAACTTACCAGTGCAATCCA